GTTAGCACCACATTTGCCATGTTTGAGAAAGGAAGGAAAAATAAAATATTAATAATAGAATAGTAATAATAAATCAGGTTCTGCGTAATTGGCAAGAATTTTGAATTGATTTTGAAGGAGGAAAGGAAGAAACTAAGGAAATAGAAATAAAGGAGTCTCGGAATACGTAAATATCTTAACGCAGAACAAGAATAATTAACTATGTATGTATAGCAAAAACGAGTAATAAAATAAAACAGAATAAATTAATAAGTAGATAACTTATTATTGTGGTAAGATATGACGTTAGAATAAGTGTTTGTGCGAGCACAGTCATAGTTTTGGGTGATGCTATGAAAGTTTCAATTAAATGAAAAAGATAATCAATATGTATGAGGTGTATATACATAGTGAATATAAAACGAGTAGGATAAGTTGAATTCAGCGTAACACAAATTATAGTCTTAATCCAAAGCTTCGTAATCAATGCTCTGATCATTTTGAAAGCCAGACAAAATTGTGCCAAAACAGCGTAAGCCTTCAATAATTCTAGACCTCACACACTCGGATAGTTTTCCTTCTGTGTGCGAGCATTGTATCTGCGTTTACACCAAATAAACAAGTGGTTTACACACTACACAATCCAAAGAGAACATAGGGTCAAACACGTCACAACAGTGGAGATTGATCACAATGGAACGGCCGAGGTGAGTGATGTGTACTAGGTACGCCAGTGGTATCAACATACACGGGTAACGTAACAGTGTGCGTCCAAGTAGCCGTTTATAATTCGAATTACTTTTAATACCTGGTGTATTTTTAACCTATTCTAAACGTTTGTTCCCTCGGTTTGCAGTTTGTTTTAGCTCCTTTTTAATTTGGGGAGAATCGAGAGTTTTTAAACACATTTACAACCTCACAAGATGTTCTTCTGTTGAAGATATCTCATTGTGCAAGGGGTCCCAGAATACAATGGACCCTGACTATGCAAACTATGAGTGAAAATTCATAGGGCAATTCTTGAAGCTCAAAAGCGTATTGACCAAACGATTGGTGATATTACTCAAGAATGACAGAGATTCTAGATCCCGAATATTGAAGATAACCTATTCATCCTCCCATCTAGCAGCTGTAACTCTCGAAGCATGTTGTACAAGCAGACATTGGTTTTCAACTGAACTCCCCATGCATCCAGTCAGGTCACACATTGCAAGAATCAAGCAGTCATAACTGACTATTCCATTTGCAGACTATGAAGAACATGAAAAGAGGGACAGGGGCTACCAATTTGGAAAACTGTGTAAACAGGTTGCCTGTTCATTAATATAAAGCTAATTCAGACAAACAGGATGAGAAGGCTCATGCACCTCAAATGGAACGCATTAATTCCCATATACGAACGCCACGAGTTTACTGAGGAAAACGGACGAGTTGAATGAACTAAGTAACGCTAGTAATACTCATCTGATAGGAATATCTGAAACATAGACTTCTCAAATAACGGGCAGCGAGCTAGCGATGCCCAGTATGACATCTTTCGCAACGACAGAAAAACAGGAATAGGGTAGTCGTGAACCTGCGATCTTGCCTGATAACACATCATGTGTACACTCAAGAGTTTATCGATCTTGATGAATCTGCATGACGCTCAATAAGATTGTCTAACGCCTCGAGGTTTCCAGTTGAAGTCATCCTCAAGAAGCTCACTGTTGACACTCGGTACAAAAATTGTACGCCGGAGGGATTATCTCGCTCCATTCGTCCCGGATACACTCATATCTTCATTCCAAGAGACATCAATCTTCCTAAAATCAACTTCGCTGAACAGAAGTACATTGGAGATGACAACTCTAAAGAAGCTTGACTTTTCAACTTCATTTTAGTTCTGGGATCATCCGAAAATATGAAGCTAGTAACTGGCTAAAGAAAATATCAGACTCCGTCACTCTTAGATGGAAGCACACCCCCAACTTCACGGGGATGCTTACTCGGATTTCTTACCGCAGGTGATTTTGTGTCCCACAAGGCAGTCTGTCCCGCAAACAGTCCATAAAAACCTACAAACAACCTACAGCCATCAAGGATTGTACCCTTGGTTTACAAAGCCGCAAAAGACACTAATGGATGGAACACAAGTGAACTAGTAGCAACAACACATATAGGCCATTCAAACAAGCAAGTAACCAATGCACCGAGGTAATGAAGGAAGAAAGACCTCAGTATCAGGTAAAGCTAATGCACAACCCTGGTAAAACCACTCAATGTGATGCTCTAACAGCCGAGCTATGGTACCCAACAAATGAAACCTTGTTTATATTACACTAATTTTCGATGGAGGTCGACTCAGTAAACTCCAAGCTACTGGTCCGTAGCACTTTACCCAATATCCTCTGGAATTATGGAGTAACATGGTGGTTGGAGGTGGTCAACAGGAAACCCTGGACCCGGGTTTCGTGCTACTTGGCACTCGTCAGCAAGGTGTACCTGTAATCTTGAGGGAACTGATGCTCCCTGGCGGATTCGATCCCGCGTCACTCAGCTTCACAGTCAGAGACGTCACCACTGAGCTATTCGGGCCGCGACCGACCTCCTGTAGGACTGAGATCTAATCACAATTGATTGATCACTGGGTGGTGATCAATCTCATGCGTGTCAGGTCCTTAGTGCTGATCGAATGCTATCGAGCAAGTTGCAATGTGGCCATCAGTCTAGGTGGCTCGACACTGCGGGCACTATATATATTAGGGTAACATGGTGGTTGGAGGTGGTCAACAGGAAACCCTGGACCCGGGTTTCGTGCTACTTGGCACTCGTCAGCAAGGTGTACCTGTACCCTAATATATATAGTGCCCGCAGTGTCGAGCCACCTAGACTGATGGCCACATTGCAACTTGCTCGATAGCATTCGATCAGCACTAAGGACCTGACACGCATGAGATTGATCACCACCCAGTGATCAATCAATTGTGATTAGATCTCAGTCCTACAGGAGGTTGGTCGCGGCCCGAATAGCTCAGTGGTGACGTCTCTGACTGTGAAGCTGAGTGACGCGGGATCGAATCCGCCAGGGAGCATCAGTTCCCTCAAGATTACAGGTACACCTTGCTGACGAGTGTCAAGTAGCACGAAACCCGGGTCCAGGGTTTCCTGTTGACCACCTCCGACCACCATGTTACCCTAATATATATAGTGCCCGCAGTGTCGAGCCACCTAGACTGATGGCCACATTGCAACTTGCTCGATAGCATTCGATCAGCACTAAGGACCTGACACGCATGAGATTGATCACCACCCAGTGATCAATCAATTGTGATTTGATCTCAGTCCTACAGGAGGTCGGTCGCGGCCCGAATAGCTCAGTGGTAACGTCTCTGACTGTGAAGCTGAGTGACGCGGGATCGAATCCGCCAGGGAGCATCAGTTCCCTCAAGATTACAGGTACACCTTGCTGACGAGTGCCAAGTAGCACGAAACCCGGGTCCAGGGTTTCCTGTTGACCACCTCCGACCACCATGTTACCCTAATATATATAGTGCCCGCAGTGTCGAGCCACCTAGACTGATGGCCACATTGCAACTTGCTTGATAGCATTCGATCAGCACTAAGGACCTGACACGCATGAGATTGATCACCACCCAGTGATCAATCAGTTGTGAAATTATGGAGTCCCTGATATGCGAGGGTGTATGTGACAACTTATAATTCATAAACTCCTCTGCATCCCAACAATATGCTTTCAAAGAAGGCCACTCTTGTTTAGCCAACATGTTGACCACGGTAGACAGATGGACAAGCATCTTTGATCGTAAGGAGAAGGTTGACGTCATATACTTCTGCTTCTCAAAAGCTTTCGATAGGGTCAACCATATATGTCATATCAATAAGCTCAAACGATTCGATATCAAATCACCATTATCTGATTGTCTTACTTCAAACACAAATAGTTGACTTTCTAAGGTCAGGGTAAACTTCAATTTGTATCAGGCTACAAGATGTGCCAGTGGGGCTCACCAGGATTTAGCACTGGTACCTCTTATCTTCTTAAATTTTAGAAACAAGGTCCTACGGCAGGTATCGTCTGATTTATTAACTTTCGCCAATGATGTGAGACTCAGGAGAGGAGTTTTCAACTAAGAGTATAAGTTGGTACTTCAGGAGGATTTAACTGGACTTCATAGTTGAGCAGACAACAACGGAATTATCTTCAACACTTTAAAGTATGACGTAGTCCACCAGAGATATGTTTCAGACTACGAATGCAACTTATGTAACTCCCGTCTAGGGGTATCTTAAGTTGAAAAGGATCTAGGAGTATTGGAACAGCTATTATCAAAAGTCTTACGCCAACTGAGACAGAAATATCTTCCGAACAAACCTAACAGTGGCAATGTCGAAGAACATTTTTAGTCAGTCTGACGGAAGGACTTTCCACCTGGTCCTCAAAAGTTTTATTCGACCCCATTTAAAGTATAGAAACATAGCTTTTCCTCCCTCACACTGGATCGTATTTGACAACGAGCCACAAAATCGGTGTGGTGATCCATATTTAAGTCCTATGAAGAGTGCCTCCAATCGCTAAACCTCTACCAGTAAGAGTACATGGACCTTAGATGTGACATTCTAATGACTTATATCATCATAAACACTTGTGGACATCCCCTAAAACACCTATTTAAGCTTGGTGCTAAAACAAAATTCATGATAGTACACAGAAACTGAAGAAACAACACAACAGAAAGGATTGTATTCACATCTTCTACTCCTTAAGAGCAGTCAAATATTGAAAATTTTGCCGACTGAGCTAATCCAAATGACTTCATAAGAGTCTTTTAAAGGGAAACTATGCATATTCTTAAGGACTAAGGACGGTATCTCACGAAGAAATCCCAATACAATAGGACTCTTTTGGCGTTAAGCTTATCTATGTTCCCACCAAGAAGCATCGATGAACCACAGCTATCAGATAAGAAGCCAGTTAAAAGAAAACTTCTTTCATTCCATCCAGAACCATTTAAACTACTATGCAGATATTTTTAACGGCTACATATAGTAATTTTTAAAACCTATCACTGACGCGGAAAATTCATTCTCTGGGTCAGTCGTGCAGGTAATGTATTGAGAGAAAAATAGCTTGGTAATTATGACGGTCACTATCGTTAGTTTTTGCTGCATTTACGTTGTACTATGGGCTAAACACTATCAACTCCCACAATATATTTCGTTTCGGTTTCTTTCGGAATGTTGGGATGAGTTAGATGTATCAACAAACTAATTCCTCTGTTGCATGTGAATTTTTGGACTTGGCTGAAAAAAGATGTTCCTCCTGTACAATTATTAACAGGTCCACGTGATTTTCTGCGGAATTCCCGCCTTATCGACAAGTCATTCTCGGAAATATTTGTGCTTAACAATTGCTAATGTATGTTATCAACTGTTAAGTAACTACACTAAAGTTTCCTTCAAAATAATACATGATATTCTGACAATTTTATTTGGTGGGAGATCAATGGAATTTAAAAACTTACATCTGTTAAGTAAATACCATCCAAGTGATTAATTCTCTGTTTACAACTATCGCTCTACCACCATGTGTCTTTATAACGTATTCCTACGTGAAATGAAAATCAGATTAAATTTCAACTCGACTAGTTCAACATTTTCGGTTCAGCTCTCATTCATCTCCATTTTTTACTCCTTTCATGCACTTACGTAATGTATCAAGTACAAGTCGTACTCTCCCAACTTTATTTAATAACTGAATCCATTTTCGCACTGAGTTCGTTAGATTACTCCCCTCAAAGTGACTCTTTGTGATTGGTTTACTGAGCTTCGTGGCATGCAGATTCTTTAGACAAAACCCGGGACTTCATCTCATTATCCCACTTGCACCTGTGCTATAGGTTATGCAACGAAATACACAATGTTAATGAAACATTAGATCCGTGAAGTGTGTTTTGCTTGCAATTACGAAACCGAGAGCCAAAGCTGCATCAGTTGCAGAAGCTCAAACAACAGACTTGCGGTGTTCCCAGAAGTCTGCACATCCCGAACTTGATATTCATACATTAGTCCCTCATCGCTTATACGCTAGAGCTCTTTTGAATATTGACTGTCATGCTCGTAGAGATTACATTCTCTTCCTCAGGTCATGTCTACAAAATCTGTAAGTTCAATATAGCTTCCCAGACCACGAACACCTAGAGACCAGATTGTGGCGACTAAACGTGGAACTGCTGCTTTATTACTCAAAACCTCCATGCGACTAATTGTTTCATTGGCCATTTCAAACTGGCAGGAATTTGATAAACGGTGACAATTAAATACGTAAGAGAGTAGTGGTTTGGTATACAATCACAAATCCACCAGTGAATCACAAATAGAAGACCACCCGTTACCGAAGTTTACCTGCTCATGAAATGTCATTATTCATTTCATGCAACATTTGTAGCTCAGTCAAGTTGGAATGCTTGTACATGTCAACTGAGTTCCAAGTTTCACACTCGTGTTATTTTATAGTTTAGATTCGATTTATTGTAAATTCATGTGTACGCTATTTTCTTTTGCGGAAGCGCCTATACAGTGTAACCATGAAATACATGATTGACAAAAAGTTTCAAGTGGCTGAATATGCCTTCCGAAAGTAGTGACTTAGTTATTAAAAGCAGTTTACTTCGAGCCACAAGTAAGAGGATCCAAACACCATTATACGTACTCCGACTATAGCAGGCGAGCAGGAACTCACTAAGAGTATAGTCTAAAGCAAACACAAATTTATAACTCATCCCTGGGCTACAAACTGAGAAGTCTATGTATTAATCTGTCAGATTTACATCACTAACGATGAGTTCTTTTCTAGACAAACGAAGGGATGGCACATAAACAGACACCAAGGGACTTCTTGAAACTCATAGTCGGAAGACCAGTGGTAGTTAAGCTTAACTCAGGTGCTGATTACAGAGGTAATTTTATATTCATGCAGCTTAAGTAATATGCAGGTGTTCTAATTTCTCTAGACGGTTATATGAATGTGGTATTGGAACAGACTGAAGAGTACATTGATGGTCAGTTGAAAAACAAATATGGTGATACGTTCATCCGAGGAAACAATGGTAAGTCACATCAGCATTTCTAAACTGTTGCAGTTTTTTATATTAGCACACAAAAGCGTTGGTGATGAATACAATTTGTACAGGCCTTTCTTATATGAAAAAACCGCTTGTTTAATTCGCAAAATAAATGTGTTTACTCCTGTATATTCCCCGAAACCATACCATGAATTCACAAAACGTAAACAAAGGAAAACAATGTTTGTTAATTAATAAAATTTTCATTACATAAAAAGAATATCTTGATTATAAATACATCTTTTTGAAAAAGTTCTAAATTACTCCACATAGTTAGGATGCACGACAATGTAAGGATCTGCAGTATCAGCAGATGCGTCTAATCCTGTACCACCAATAGTTATGAGAATATTATCCTGGAAGAAATAAGAAAGTTTCCATTGTTTCGTTAACACACTAAGCAAATTTTCCATGCATTAGAAAAGCGATCTGGGTTTAAATACCGTTAAAGCCACTTGCTAATGAATCTAATTCCTCATAACCCACTAAGACAGTGGGATTAACCAACAGTGCATGCACCACAGCTGCTTTTAAACTACACCTATAACTGTACATATAAACAGCACAAATTATTGCATACTTAACTAAAAACATGATACGTTAGCTACTTTAGTTTAAGTTCCGCAATCCTGTTGCTTACATGAAACGATGTGACCGAGACGGCACATGTATTGCGGTGAGTATATGACATGTAGTTGTAAATAACCAATTGTTATTGCTATCATAAAATCCAAACTCCATGAAATCAAGCTCACAAAATTCAGGAAACATTCAACTTTCTGTATTGTTTTTGTTCCACGTGAACGAATTCTTACCATAAGACGGAGAGTGTAGTTGCCTTTGTCTACAACATATATTGAAGCGAGTATCTGTTTTATATGATAGTTAATCGATCTATGAGCGAAATGGAGAAGTATATGTTACATGACTGGGCTATATATTTTCTTGTTTATAAGTAAAGACATTTGATATGTGTTTCAGATCTCACAGATATTAAACATTACATCTTGCAGTTCGGATGACTTGGTATTGTTTATGATTTGTGTGTTCTGTAAAGTAACAAGGTTTCGATAAAACTGATATATGGTCCAATCGATGAAAGTCAGACGTAGATGTTTTGACTAAAACCAATAAAACTTATTCCTCTTCATTCAATGTACTTGGTTTCGTCAGGGTTCTTAGAAGTCTATTTTATGGTACGATGTAGCCTGTCTGTTATATAAACCCAGTATGCTTGAAATAAATGATTCTCATCGCAGAGGATGTTATTGGTGTTTTAGACTTAACTGGCTGGGCTAGGCAGAAAGCAGAACCGACAAGTGCTCTAGACTTCTCGTACGGGTTTTGTGAGTCATTGATTCGACCGATAAACCGTTGCTCTCTAATTGGTGGTATTATCACGTTATACATTAACAGGGCATCCAGGCGGTCACAATTATCATGGTAATGAGATGATTAGTTTCGAATATTTTAAACAATGAAGTCCAATGGATAGAGTCTATGATTCTGAAAATCTTTATCTTTGTAGATTTTAATAACTAACCCGACCGTTGCTGCTACCTTGACGTGGTGGTCGGGCTTGCCTGCCGTAATGAACCAATAGAGCTATACTGGATGGAACAATCGTTCCTCAAAGTTCGATCATGCCAGACAAGTCGGTTGAAGAGCGGTAAGGCTAAAAGCAGCAAACCCTAGGTCCGAAGTCGTAATGCTGACTGTACAGAGGTGTGACGGCAGTAAGGTGTTTCCCTCTGAACTTCTTCAAAAAGCTAAACGCTCAGACATACCACACGTAGCAGGTGACTAATGTCCAAGTAGGTAGCTTAAACCAGACAGAAAGACATTTAGATGGGTATTTTGGTATTCCGGCTCAGTGAACAGATAATGATGATCATCTGTTGCAACTGTGCTCAGAAATCGTCTAGATTTAGCAAGCACTAATTTTAAGCGTAGAGACATCGTCTAACATGGTGACCCCCTGCACCAAACCAACAATGAACTCAAAACAGACCATATTGCCATCAGTCATCGTTGGAGAGGCTCGATAGGAGAATCGGTCGTTCTGGAATACTTGTCTGGACTCTGATCATGTTCTAATACGAGCATGCGTTTGCTTGCGCCCCAATGGATGCAAAAAAGCCACACTAAGACCCATTAGAATTGAACTCAGTCACGAGAAAGCCAAAAGTAGATTCCAGGAACAGCTGAGGTCACACTTAGGTAATACTGGAAACGAGGCTGACCCAGATGTTGCTTGAAAAGATATAGGAACAGCTCCGTAAACAGCAGTGATGTAAACCAATGGATTTCTACTAAGTCTATTGCACTGCTGGATTCTCGTAAACTCATTCCATCAGGCTCTGAACACGATGAAACACGAAAACAAATCAGATCTACGTTAACCAAACGTCTACGGAAAGAGCGTGAGCAGTGGTGGGCAACGAAAGCAAAAGAAATGGAAGAGACAGTGGCTGTAGGCAACACCAGACAACTCTTCAGACTAATAGAAGAAACCAGAATTAAGAAGTCAAGTGTAAGCGAAACAATCTTGGGAAAAGACGAAACCCTTATCTGCTCTCAGCCCAGACGTTTAAACCGATGGTCGGAACACTTTAGAGAACAGTTCAGATGGCCTTAAGCTACTCTACAACTAACCACTATTGCCAGACAGCCTGAATGGAACATTGAAAAAGGTCCTCTGACTCTAGCTGAAGTTCAAAAGACTATACCTAATCTGAAACGAGGAAGAGCAAATGGATAGGCTCCAAATGTTTTTAAATATGGTGGTCCGATTTCAGCGATTAGGTTGACTAATATTTTGGCTAAAATCTGGGAGTTGGACGTAATCTCATCTGACTGGTCACAATCACTGATTGTCCCAATATATAAGGGGTCAAAATCATCCTGTGATAACCATAGAGGAATTAGTTTGACTAATATAGCATCTAAAATACTAGCCTTAATAATTATCGGGCGCCTAACTAAGACTTGTGAACTTCAAAATAAGAATATCAAGTTCGTTTCAGACCTGGTTGTGGCAGTATTGATCACATATTCACTATTCGTCAGGTTTTTGAACACAGACATGCTTATCGACAATGATAGCTTTTCCTGAGTTGAAAGCAGCATTTGACTTCTGTAGACCGAAAGGTTATGTGGCAGTGTGTCATTGAAAGTTGTACTTCAGAGGTACAGAAACGCTGTGAAGGTTCTTTACTCGAACACTACTAATCGAGTCAGAGCTTATGGCGAACTGTCGTCTGATCTTACAACCTCAAGAGGTGTCCGGCAAGTCTGTCCACTATCTACATTTTTGTTCAACTTCATCATAAACTTGCCGCTGGAAATAACTTTCTCGTCGACTGTATTTTCAGGAATCGGTCTCCTAACAGGAGGTCCACTTATCGACTTAGAATACGCAGATGACATAGTCCTGTTCGGTGAAGACGTTAACAAAATGAAGTGTCTTTCGATAGCACTGAGTAACACAATGCCAATGTGTTTGAGATGTGTTCCTCTCCCCATAAATTCAAGTTGTTCCTTCAGGACTGACCTGCATCAACACCAGAACTAAGGACAGGGAGTGAAGTAGTCGAACGCGTCGACAACTTCACTCATCTTGGAAGTCTGATCAGCTCTAACGGGTTGGTGTCTGACGAAATTTCTGCACGATTTCAAAAAGCTCTTTTTTGCTTTTGCCAACTTACGTCATCTATGGTGAAGGCGAGATATCCGTCTATCAATTAAAGGACAAGTATACTGTGTAGCAGTTCGCTCTGTTCTACTTTACGGCTGTGAAACGTGGTCATTAAGAGTAGAAGATATTCGTAAGCTGCTAGTAATTGATCACAGATGTCTTAGAAATATTGCTCGCATCTGCTGGGATCACCGGGTAAGTATTGTGAGGTTAGACGTAGAGTATTAAGGGATGATGGTAAATCAGTTGATGAGGTCATGAATCTTCACCGACTGAGATGGTTCGACTATGTGTTACGTATGCCTGAACACCAATTACCACGACGCGCAATGCTGACTTCTGTCGGAAACGGTTGGGATAAAGTTAGGGATGGCCAAACCAATATGTGGCATCAGTCCTTGAAGTTACTAACTTCTGATCTGAGCCATGTTGGTAGATGCGGACTACTTGGGGTCCGCGTGACTATCGTAGCCAATGGTTGAAGACTCTGTGTGACATGGCTCAGAATCGATCACAATGCCGTAAGTGTATACACTCTTTGTCTTCCCTTAAACCTTGAGATTAAAATTACTTCATATCTGTCTTTCTTCCTGTACTATATCCCTATACACAATCTTCCTTTTATATTTTACTACCATTGAAGTAACCACTTCTATGAAGTTGGTGTTCATCTTATTGCGCTAATATATTTTTATTTATTTAGACACAGAAATATTGGTACGAGGGGGCACCAGATATATATGCGCCGCACAAATTTCAGTCGATTTGTGTGAGGGCTGTGATACTGCCTAGGTGCCCAAACTGAAGCAGGTGGTTTTCTTAGGGGCCCACACCCGGAGCCTTTGACCTGAAGGTCTGATCCACAAGGCAGTGGAGCATTCTGAGGAGATGCAGACCCATGGCAGCCGGTGACCAAGGGTTGATTCATACGCCATTTGTTCCCTCAGGATAATGGAGCCCATGTGCACCATTGGTTTGGAATCAGGGTTTTCCAACTCTCCTAGGCGGACTTTCCATGTCCATCAACCCGGTTAAAGCGCTGGGCATTCGATTTTCGTCCTCTCAATTTCGTAAACACCCCCGGACTTTAATAAACAACGTAGTTCGTTTCAAGAGAACCACCATAAATAATTCCAATATGGGATTCGAAAAGTAAGCAAATGTCAAATGCAACGAAAAGTGATATGGTGATAAGCTTACCTTTTTTATTAGGCGATCAATTATGCGCTCGACAAGAAGCTTAACTTCCGCTAACTGCGCTTCAGTTTCAAATTCATCGACAACTTCTTCTAGATACCAGTTGACTAGTTCGCTCCTTTTTGGGGCACCTGGAGTCTGATCAGACTCACTATCTGTTGCTGAGGTCTCGCACCAGTTTCGAGCCTTCAAAATTAAAAGACTAGCAATCCGTCTATACTCATCGTATGTCACTCGTAAATGCCCAGCAGTTGTATTCGTCTCTGTAGTTGGCTAGTTAAAATAATTTTTAAAAAATGGA